TTAATAAATACTTTCTGACACTGAACAAGGTTGTTGTTTGTATTCAGTCATTCTTTTAGTCGTGTCTCACTCTTTGTGATCTCATTTTGGGATTTTCTTGGCAAAGATATTGGAGATGTTTGCCTTTTCCTTCTCCAGCTCATTTTACAGATAAGGAATGGAGGCAAATGGGGTTAAGTGACTTACCCCGGGGTCACATAGCTAGTAAGGGTCTGAGGCTGGATTTGAACTGATGAAGATGAGTCTGCCTGATTTCATGCCCACTGCTCTATCCACTGCACCACCTAGGTGTCCCTACTAAACCAGAGCCATGGCTCTTATTGACTAATAAGCCATCCTATATTCATGCACAATATAGACTAGGAGGCTTGGGTTAAAATTCCAGCTCTGATACTTTCAAATTGTTGGACTTTAGGTAAATCACATGTTTCTGGTACCTAGTTTCTTCATCTCCAAAATGGATACTATGTTATTTTACCATTCATCTCACAGGGCTATTGTGAGGGAAATTGCTTTGGAAACTTTGGAAAGGTGAGTTTTTATTGTAATCATCTGCCTAACAGGGTGTAAGAGATACAAAACAGAAAGAGACCTAAAGCAGCTAACTAGATTAGTCTTTGAGGCCAAAGTTCCTTTCTCTTTTACTACAGTGCTTGGTACATCATACATATTTAATAAATGTTTATTGATTGATTGATTGAGTTAACCTGTCCATTCTGACCCTGGATCTGACCATTTCTTACAGTAGCTAAGAGCCATAGCTAGCAATCTTGGCATTGCAGGGCATACTTTGTGATGATAACGCCTAGAGTGAGTAACACCAGACATGCCCTGAAACCAACAAAAGGTGGTGTTGGTCGTGGTGCAGACCACAGAACATCTGTGGTCCTTTCTGGGAATGACGGCCTCTGGGAACGAGCTAGGCGGGGTGCAGAACTATCTGGTATCAATTTTGCTGCCTTCTAAATTTGGTGCTTGGCAACCTGGGGTACTTTGATGCCTTGGTTGTCTTACTCTAGTGGCACTGACTCCTCTTGCTTCCCAAATTACTCATCCCTTTCCTTGCTAATATGGCCCCTCTTTATAAAAGTCCCTCCCTTTTGCTTTTCTATTCTCTTTCATGGCTCTGAATTTCTTATATACACTTAATTATTCTCTATATTTTTCTCTCTGTCCCCCAATTAGACTGTAATCTCCTCAATGATAGGATCATGTCCTCCCACTGTACCTGGCACAATAAAGGGCAAGTATTTGTTAATTTACATATTCATATGTGTGGATTGTTTCTTTAAATAAATGTTTATTGACTTAATAAATTAACTTCTTTAAAATAATCAGATTTTTAAAAGAAATTTTAAATCAGTTTCTTTAAAAGAGATCCTTTTGTTTGACTATGCTGCCTCTTACATATATCAGTGAATTTCCTTCTTACTTTTGCTACCAGACTCTGAACACCAAACGTCTTCATTCCTTCATTGACCCTATGCAATATGATCCTCTTCCCCTCTTTCTCCCCACTTTTCTGATGAAACTCTTCTCTCAAAGGTCAGAATGATCTCTTTCCAGTCATATTCAATCTTTCATCGATCTTGATCTTTCTGCAACATTTCACTGTGTTGATCATAAAGCTGTAACTAGTCAGTCCACGTTCACAGCAAATACTGCAAAACGAATGAGAGAGATGTGGAGCACAGAGATTGAGGCCCACCAGGCAGTTGCTTGAGGAAGCCACCAAAGGGGGATTATGATGGATTGAACAAGGTCAATCAGCTGGGGCGCATGAAGGACTTGTGATGCCTACCTGGGCCACATAGGCCAATGTTCACTTTGATTGTGCTTCTCAGGGTATTTGTGGTGAGTCTTGACTTGTACAGTCTGTGCTGGTAAGCTGAAATCACCAAAGGGGAGGTGTAACCTGGTCCCCAGAGAGTCCAGCCTCTGGTCCCAAACCCAATAACTCTTGGATACCTCAACTCTTAAAAAAAGAGGCAGCATATGTGAAATGTGACAGAGGGGAAGGCTATCTCCTTTGAAGGGGATGGTGGGGAAAAGAGGAAGCATTTCTATAGTGCCTACTATGTGCCAGGAACAGTGCTAAGTGCTTTACAAATACTATCTCATTTGATCCTCATAACAACCCTGAGAGGTAGACGTAGTTATTATCCCCATTTTACAGCTGGGAAATCCGAAGCAGACAGCAATTAGGTGACTTGCCCAGGTTACAGAGTTAGTAAGTATCTGACAGTGAATGGTGGACTCATGTCTTCCAGACTCTAGGCCTAGTGCTCCATCCACGGTGCCACCTAACTGTCCTTGATTTTGGGATGCTGTCCCAGTGACCACTAGACTTTGGAACAGCGACTTGATGGTGGTGAAATCCTTGTGGATGACAATTTGGGGCTGACTGAAGGAACAAGGATGTTTATACTGTGAATGTGAGAGTCATATAATGGAGCACCAAAAGGTGCAGGACTGACAGACCAGAGGACCCCGAAGAGAGAAAGCATGCTCTTCTAAACATCAGTACCCTGGAGCAAAATCCCAGGTACCCCACCCTAGTTAAAGCTCTAGCTAATTATCCCTTGGATCTGAGAATTCTTCCCTTGGTTTCCATGCTATCACATTACACTCATTCTCCTCTTAATTCTTCTAATCACCCCTTAACTATCTTTCCTTCTTCTTTACCCTCTTTCTTCTTCAGACACTTAACCTAAGAATTGTTCAAGTCAGTCCTTAGATTTTGCTGCACTAACACCTTCAGCACAGTCATCCGCTCTCATATATGGAAGCAATAACCCTGTGGATAGAAAACATTCACAGCAGAGGAGATCCACTTGCTACTCTTAGACCTACCATCTCTACACTTGACCTCTCATCCACTTCTTGTTGTTGGACAGCCTTTTCAGTCACGTTCAATTCTTTGTGACCCCATTTGGGGTTTTCTTGGCAAAGATACTGGACTGGTTTGCCATTTCCTCTTCCAGCTCATTTGACAATGAGGTAACTGAGGCAAACAGGGTGAAGTGACTTGCCCAGGGTCACATAGCTAGTAAGTGACTAAGACCAGATTTGAACTCAGGAAGATGAGTCTTTCTGACTCCAGGCCTGGCACTCTATTCACTGGATCATATAGCTCCCCCTCTACTTTCCAGTATCCTATGCCTATAGATAGGACTGATATTTGTCATTCCCTCAAACAACATGTTGCCAAACTGGACTCATTATAGAATTTTAGTGATAGAAGAGATATTAGGGATAATATAATCTAATTCCCTACTTCTTTTTTTCAGATGTGGAAACAGCCCCTGCGTGGTGAAATTTCTTCCTCAAGGAAGTATTAATTCATTCTTTTTAATGTTAGAGGCAGCTATCTGGTTCAGTAAAGAGAGAGCGCTGGGCCTGGAGTTAGGAAAACTTGAATTCAAGGCCCTAGACACTTATTAGCTGCATGACCTTGGGCAAATCTCAGTTTGCCTCAGTTACCTTATTGGTAAAATGAGGATAATAATAGCATCAACCTCCCAGGGTTGTTGAGAGGCTCAAATGAGGTAATACTTGTAAAGCAATTAGTGCTAGTGTCTGGCACATAGGAGGAGCTGTAAGATGATGATGAGGTTTCTCTTTTATGCATTATTCATTCTATTTATAGAAGCAACACTATAGCCCAGGTCTTCATCTCAAGTCTAGATTTTGGCAGCTTCCTAGCTGGCCTCCCTGTCTCTATTTTCATTTGCTCTAATCCATCTTGTAAAATGCTTCCTTCTTAGTTTTCCTGGAACATCTTTATCACATCATTATTTTGCTCCAGACATACAGTGAGTGGCTCCTTGTCAATGGATTAAAGCTAAAACTGTCTGGCTTCTAGGGCCCTCTGTAATCCAACCCCACCCTACCCATCCAATATTATTTCCCAATGGGTATTATTGCCCATACATCCTCCAATCCAGTCAGTCAGGCTGATTTTCTCACTGCACTACAAATGTGTCATGTTCATTCTTGCCTCCACCCCCCACACACACACACATTGCCCTTCCTCTGAGATCATCCAAATCTCATCCATCCTTTCCAGCCCAGATCACATCAGTTAATAGAAATGTGAGACTCAGTCTCACCCATGCAGAGGGAGAAGAGAGGTTCCTAGAATGCTACACTCTTTTAGCTTCTGAATATCCCCAGCCAGAGCAAAACTCACAATTGACTTGTTCTAAGTAAAATGCCACTATAAGAGCAGTGGCCAGCAATATGGATTTGAGAAACAGGTGTAAATACAACCAGAATGACCCAAGGGTTGGTGAGTGACCTCCCTGCAGAATCACAAAATCTCTTATTTGAAAGGAACCCCAGGAAGGGTCCAACTCATATCAAAACAAAACCCCTTCTATGTATGTTGCATGGAGTGGTAGCAAGAATGCAGAATTTGGAGTTAAGAAAATCTCAGTTTAAATCCAGCCTCAGAAACTTCATAGGCATGTGACCCTGCTCTGCCTTAGCTTCCCCAACTGTAAAATGATCAAATGATAGCACCCATCTCCCAGGGTTGTTGTGAGGATCAAATGTGATAATATTTCTAATGCATTTGGCACAGGGCCTGGCACACAGTGGGTACTTGGTTTTCTTTCTTTTAATCCCTCTTCCTCTTGGCACCTTGGCTTCCTCATCTAGAAAAGCAAGCTGAACTAGATGACCTCTAAAATCATGGTTGATGATATAAGCATCATCATTCTTTCATTTAAAGACCTCCAGTGAGGAGTGAGTTGCCCATTGAGGCAACCTACTCCATGTTTGAACAGGTGGAAGGAAGGGGTGAAGAGGCAGGATATAACAGACAGAGAAAGCCTAAGCTACTGCAGTTACAATTTTGAAGGTGTGGAGGGATCGATTCTCAGAATATTTGAAATGCAAAATGATACCAAATGCTAAGTGGGAAATGGTAGCCATTATTGTCCCCCTTCCCAAAAAAGTGACCAAGAAAATATCAATAATAACCGACTCCTATTCCCTTTTGCCATTTCTACAAAATCTTTAATTAGCTATACACATTTTGATAGCATCTCTGATGTAGGCATGAGAAGGGAACAGTCAGGCTTTCATGAATGATATTCCATAGGGGATCACATCTCAATAGTTACACAAGAGACAGAAAACAAGATCCTACTGTGTTGACTGTTGGCTATAAAAGAAAGTATTTGATTCAGTAGAGCAAAATTCTCCCTTAAAGGCTGTCCACAGACTAGGTGTCTCCTATGCACATGGTGAAATCATCCAAAATTCCTTTAAGGACATGGCTGTGAATATTCTCAGAAACCTGTCACCTGACTCTAAGTCCTTTATTATTTCAGCATCCTGTGACTTAATTTTTCTTAATGAACCAGTGTTATCCACAAGGCAAGAGCAATCATTGCTTTTTTTAAAATTAAACTAAAGTTAAAAGAATAACCCATTAGCAGAGAATGCATAAGACTTTGTGAGCTGCCCAATTCAGAACCATTCCGGACACAAAAAATAAATATAATGTAGAAATAAATAACTTTGTAGTAAAATATAGAGGTTTGGACTCTTGACTGACAGAGAAGCCACATGACATCGGTCTTATTTCGGTGCCGGTACCAGGAGCTGTCTAGTAAATGATCTTCTTGGCTGCCAGAAGGGTATTCCTCAGAAGCATGGCCACAGTCATAGGCCCCACGCCACCTGGCACTGGAGTGATAAACTTAGCTTTCTTCTTAACTGCTGATGAAAGAAACAGAGGACAGAACATGTGTTTATTGTAACACATTATTCAGGTCATACTGCATGTCAACATAAAAACCCAATCCATCAAAGAAGGGGATTCCAATACATATACTTCTGCATGAAGCCTCTCTCTGTGTTGAGAGAGATGTGTGTGTGAGAGAGAGGGACAGAGACAGAGACAGAGAAAGACAAAGACACATAAAGACAGAGAGAGACAGATAGAGAAAGAGAGAGGAGAAAGGAGAAATGAGGAGAGATAAGTGAGAAAGAAAGGAGAGAGAAGAGAGAGAGGAGAAAGGAAAGATGAGAGAGAGAAGAGACAAGGGAGAGAAGGAGAAGGAGGGAGAGAAGGAGAAGGAGAGAGAGAAAGAGAGAGGGAGAGGGAGAGAGACAAACAGACAGAGACAGAGAGAGACAGACAGACAGAGAATTAGAGAGGGGGAGAGAGAGAGAGAGAGAGTGGAGGGAGAGAACACTTTTCAATATAGGCTTAAAGTTCCCCTTTGTCCTTCCCCATAGTGATCCCTCCTTTCAAGTAAATACTTGCTCATAATACAATAAAAATGGTTTTTTTTTAATCTGGAGATAAAACCCATTATAAAGACATAGATAGCACAATAGGCAAGATTTTCAAGAGAACATGAAACTCCCAAGGGTAAGTGATTCCAGTTTAACAGGCAGAGATGAAGCAGAGGAGAAGGCGGAAGTGGAGATGGGATTAATGCACCAGGATTTCATTATGGCACCAAATTTTGTGCAAGATCACTTTCTAAATGAGTCAGTTAGCTATATATGGCTGCAACTGCTCATGATTATATTCAATTGAGGGAGCTGGCTGTTGATGCTAGAGCTTCCCCACACAACCCCAGGGCTCCAGAGTTCCTTGGCTTCTCCTGCAGAAGCACCACCATCCTTCCATTTACCCAGGTTGGAAACTGCTCAGTCATTCTGTTCTCTTCACACACTCCACATGTCCAATCAGTTAGCAAATCTTATCCTTTCTATCTCTACAATGTCTCTCATTTATGTCTCCTTCCAATTTGAACAGGTGCCACCCTGAGTTCAGTCCCTTCTCTCTCTCATCTGAATTCTTTCCTATCTCCATTGTTTGGAATACACCCTCTTCTCCAGTCCACTTCTTAAAATCCCCATTTTCTTTCAGGATTCAGCTCAAATATGGTCACAGTTAGAATAAAGCCTTTCCTGATTCCCACAACTGCTAGTACCTCCACCCATCAAGTTACCTTGTTTTTCTTTGTATGTATTTTTATAAACCTATGTTGTCTCTCCTGATAGAATATCAGCTTCTTGAGGATAGAGACACTTTTTTCTTTTTGGTCTTTATATCTCTAGCACCTTGCATATAGTTGTTGTCTAGTCATTTTCCAGTTGTGTTTGACTCTTTGTGATCCCATTTGGAGTTTTCTTGACATTTTCTTGCCATTTCCTTCTCCAGATCATTTTACAGATGAGGAAACTAAGGCAAACAGGGTTAAGTGACCAGCCCACAATCATACAGCTAGTGTCTGAGGTCATATTTGAACTCATGAAAATGAGTCTTCCTGACTCCAGGCTCGGCACTCTATCCACCACACCACCTAATTGTCTTGCATATAGTAGGCACTTAATATATACTTGATTGATTTCAACCTAAAGGAGTAAATCAACAGAGACTAACCAAATTGCTGTAAAGTAGTTATAGAAGCCCCCATAATATGTCTATATTTAACTTTCTATCAATACACCAATTTATGGGGGAAAAAACAGCAAAGGTCTGAAACTTTGTCTCCACATTTCCTATTGATTTTTTAATTAATACTTTTCCCCATAACAAATATCTTTCAGCGAACTCCCCAAACCCTCCTCCCACAACCATAAAGTGCATTTTCTGATGTTAATTTGTAGCTAACAACAAAGGACACCATTGAATTTCCAGCCTTAAAAAGATGGAAGTGTATTATTGAAAGGAAAAACAATTAAGATTGTATCGTCACTCAAGAAAGTAAAATTTTGCCAAGGACTACACTAACCTCATAACTTTCTTCTTCCAAAATTAGGGAAGGCTTCTTGGAGGAAGAGGGTATTAGACAGAATGCAGAGGGAGAAGAAAACATCAGGGCACTGAGAATAAAAGCATTGCCTCTTGATACAAAGTATCTAAGTTCAAATTGAAATAAGTTCAATGACCAGTTTTCAACTTGGTCATTGTATGACCTTGGGAAAATTATTTTGATTCTCTCTGACTTTGTCAAATGACAGCATCAGAAGAGATGATCTCTAAAGTAGCTTTTAGCTCTAAATCAATGATATGATGATAAGAAGAAAAGTGAAAAAATGACCCCTAAACCAAGTTAATTTCCCTAAAGTGTCAGGAGGTACCTAACTACAAAGCAAAGAAACAGAGGGGAATGATAAGATTTAAAACATCACATAAGAACCAAAATGCTTTTTTTTTTTCATTTTGTTTATGAGTCCTTTTGCACTCATCAAAAGGCAGGTTAGTGAAGTGGAAACAGTGCAGAGTTTGGACGTGAATTCAAATCTTGGCTTTAACATGCACTACCTATGTGCCTCTGAAGATATCATTGACTCTCTCTTGGTTAATTTCTCCATTTTAAAAAATGAATCAGGGAGTGGTGGTGTGGAGTCAAGAAGGTGGAATAAAAGCCAGTCTTTTTTCCTAGCTCTCCCAATACATCCCTTCCACAACAACCTAGAAAATACTCCATACCAAATTCTGACGGGAAAAGCTAAGAAAAAGTCACAGCTGCCCAGGCCAGGGCAGCTTGGGAAGATAGACAGTATTCTGCAGATAATGTAGTGGAGGTTGACCAGGAGCGCATCATGGCAGCAGGTAGAAGCAGCACTTGGCTGTGCAGGCAGCAACATTGAGTAGTAGTCTGGGACCCAAGGATGGTAAGGGTACTAAACACCTGGGCATAAAAACATTCCAGGGGATTCCTGTTCTAGCACTGGACATAGGAAGTTATGCCATTCAGTAGATCTATTGCCCATTACCCAGTTCTAGGCCATAGTTCCATGGCCAAGAGGAGCAGACTCAGTCATGATGGCACAAAGGCCCTACTTGCGTAAGGAGCAAGGAAAATGTTCCAGAACTATAGCTATGTGACTTTGAGTCCAAGAATGAAATGAAAACTCAGTTCTAACTTTTAATCCCTCACATAAGCCTACAGTGGAATAAACCAGATCAGGGAACCAAAACACAGAGACAATCTGTAGATCAGTTGCTCTGAGATTTCTGAACCTCTCAGTAAGCTGTACCTAAGTCCAGCAGCAGTCTAGAGAAACTCAACCACACATAAGTCAACAGACACAAACCAGGTCAGAAATTTGTAGAGCATAGATCAGGAGGGCAGTGAACAGGTCTCTTCCTGGATAACACTACTTTAGAAGCACCAAAAATTTACAAAGCCCCAGAATGAGAAGTAAAAGCAGAAAAAGGACAAAAAGACAGAAGCTCAGGCCAGACATTCCCCAGAGGTGATCAGAGCCCAGTTCTAACATAAAGTTCAAAGTCAAGAAATAGGCCAGAAAAGTGAGCAAACAAAAACAACCCCAACCATAAAAATTCCTGTGGAGGCGGGGAAATTCAAATGCAGGAGAACATAATTACTTGAAAATATCAAAAAGCAAAGCCTCCAAGAAAATAGATTAACAGAAACCCAAAAAGAATTCCTAGAACATTAAAGAGGTTAAAAGAAGAAAAACACTAGAAAAAGAAATGAGAACAATGTAAGAACATTATGAAAGGAGAATTAACAGCTTGGTCAAATCAGTACAAAAAATACTGAAGAAAATAAAATTGTACTTGCCAAGTGGAAGCTAATGACTCCGTGAGACCTCAAGAAACAATAAAACAAAGTCAAAAGACTGAAAAAAGGGAAGAAAATGTGAAATATTTCATAGGAAAAATTGACATGGAAAATTGATCAAGGAGAGATAGTTTAAGAATCATTGGACTATCTGAAGACATGAATAAAAAAAAAACCCACCTACACATCCTATCATAAGAAATTATGAAGTAAAATTGCCCACATATATGAGAACCAAAGGGCAGACTCAGCAATACCACAACCCTAACCCTAATCCCAAAGAGATCAAAGAAAAAGAAAAAAGCACTTAAATGCATAAAAATATTATAACAGCTACTTTTATGTTGACCAAGAATTGGAAAATGAGAGGCTGCTCACCAATTAGGGAATGGATGAACAAGTCATGGCATTTGGAGGTGAAGGAAAAATATTGTTCTGTAAGAAGTGATGCAGTGTGAAACCTATATTAAATTGTTTGCCTTCTCAATGAGGGGGGAAGGGAGGGAGAGAGAGTGAGAATTTGGAACTCAAAAAAATTTTAAATGAATGTTTACAATTATTTTACATGTATGTGGGAAAAAATAAAATATTAAATTTAATAAACAAATAAAAGTAAAAAAAATTAAAAATGATGTAGAGAATGGTTTCAGAAAGACCTGGGAAGACTTATATGAACTGGTGCACCTGTAGAGAGAGGACTGAGGGACTTAGAACACAGATTGAAGCTTATTTTTTTCTCTCTCTTTCTTTGGCTAATATTAAAATTTGTTTTGCATGACTCCATATTTGTAGTGAATTTTGTGTTTCTTGCCTTCTCAATGGGCAGGGGAGCAGATGGAGAGGGGGGTATAATCTGGAACTGGAAATAAAATAAAATGAATTTTAAAAGATTATAACCCTGATTGCAAATGGGATAAACTCAGTAATAAAACATAAGATTGCAGAATGGATTAGAAAGAAGAGTCCAAAACTGTGTTGCTTAAAAGTAATATTCTTAAAACAGAAAGATTCACTTTTAACAATAGCAATAACAGCAACAAAAAACAAACAAGAAAAATGAAGGGTTGGACTAGATGACTTCTAAATTTCCTTCCAGCTCTAAATCTATGATAATTTTCTCCCTTCGATTATGACCTCTACGTAGTGTTTCACAGCTAGGCTAAT